CTTGCCAAGCTTTAAATAGGTACCTATGATAAACTACACATGCAAGGATCATCTGCCACATCTCTAATTTCATAAGCATACCATTCCCATCCCTAGTTTTCATTTAATGAGCACTCACAGAGTACATACTAAATTGGGGTCAGAGTTTGTATTATTTTTTCCTTTCCCATCTCACTGCAGTGCATCTGTTATACCAGAAAGATGCACCACAGTCAAAGACAAAGTCATTCCTGACTTCCTGTCCATTCTAAACTCCCAGGACAAGTCGAAAGTCAAGAGTGCTAGGCTTCTAACTCAGCAATTACCGTAGCAACAGTAGTCTTATTCAAAACAAGGAGGACAGTTCAGGCCTCTTAGCTTTTTCTATCCCCAAGACATGTACACATTCATAAATGGATACCTCAGGCACTTCCGTGGTTCCAAATATAATCAAGGTATTTTAAAGCTTCCAGAATATGCAAATTCCTACTGCACTGAAATTAAGTGAAATAAGGGGTGTGTGGAACAATTTCTAGCATCTATACAGTAAACTCTATACAATAACAAACTGCACCTTATAAGACAGGGAGAAGGAATTTTTTTGTGTGTGTGAGGAAGATCAGCCCTGAGCTAACATCCGTGCTAATCCTCCTCTTTTTGCTGAGGAAGACCGGCCCTGAGCTAACATCTATTGCCAATCCTCCTCCTTTTTTTCCCCAAGGCCCCAGTAGATAGTTGTATGTCATAGCTGCACATCCTTCTAGTTGCTGTATGTGGGACGCGGCCTCAGCATGGCCGAAGAAGCGGTGCGTTGGTGCGCGCCCGGGATCCGAACCCGGGCCGCCAGTAGCGGAGCGCGCGCACTTAACCACTAAGCCACGGGGCCAGCCTGGGAGAAGGAATTTTTAATGAAAGATTTTTAGTATACACGTCTCCAGGTGTACATCAGTTTTCTACACATGCATCTATCTAATAGCCACAGCCTCTTCTAGAAAGCACCAGAAAGACAAGAAGACTTTGCCAAGGAATAAAGTAAGAGTCATACCCTGGATTTTAATTTCCTAACTTCCCATACTCACTTTGGAACAAAGCGTTGACCGTTCTCAGATATACAGAAAAGACAACAGATCTTGGGGATTTCATAACCTAACTTTTACACTGTCCAGATTTTTGCTTCTGATGAAAAGTCACCGAGGGAAATTCTTTATTCCTTCATTTTAAGTATCGTCACATAAAGCTGACAGGAAATAATGGTCAAAGTTTCAATTTAGGCCACTGCTTATATACCTTTTAATAATATAAACAATATACAACTATGTACTGTGAATTCACAAATATCTAGTTACTTATCTTCTTACGGTATTCATTTCAAGTCTAACAAAACTTTAAAGGAACAGAAATCAATATGTAGGGAAATTTTAAGAAGGACAAAACTAATAACAAGTACTGATAAGTATTAATCACCATAGATGCATCATCTCTGTTGAATTGTGGCAAGTGATTTTAGGTGATAAGAACTGAGAAAGTGAAAAGGGGGTTATATTTATGATTTATACAGAACAAAATATCCCAAATGCTCAGCTCTTTATTAAAATCCAGAAGTAGATCCACCATATAACATGTACTGATCACCATTCCTCCCCCTCGGGATTGTGATGGGCTTCTCAGGAGCCTTTGATGATTCTGCCTTGCATCTTCTCCCCCTATATATTTTCTAGTGCCTTTGCCTTCATCTGGAATGATTTCTCCCCTTCTCCCAGAACTTTCAAATATTTCCAGATCCAGGTTCAATTCCTGCTCCTCAAGGCCTTCCAAAAATCACTCCTACCTCTAAGCTCCTAATATGTGTGAAGTCTTCCACTCATTTGGAAATTAGTTATCCACTGCCTGGTGCGAGTTCTTAGAATGGACAGTTAACTTTCCTTCTTTTTTTTTTTTTTTTTTTTGGTGAGGGAGATTAGCCCTGAGCTAACATCCGTTGCCAATCCTCCTCTTTTTGCTGAGGAAGATTGGCCCCAGGCTAACATCTGTGCCCATCTTCCCCTACTTTATATGTGGGACACCTGCCACAGCATGGCTTGATAAGCAGTGCATAGGTCCATGCCCAGGATCTGAACCTGTGAACCCTGGGCCGCTGAAGCAGAGTGTGTAAACCTAACCACTACACCTCCAGGTCAGACCCAACTTTCCTTCTTATTGAGTTATTTTTTGTTATTTAACTTTTCACATATTTAAGCTCCTTGGAGATAGTATAGCTTATATTTCTTTTATTTATCTACATGGAAGGTGCTACTAAATATTTATTGATCTGAATTTATTTAAAACTATTCATCACTTTTTTCCAATCATTCCGTAGTGTTGATTTAACAAACTTAAAAAATACAGAGAAGATGATGGTACTCCATTTCAAAACTACTTTCTAAACCACTACTTTTGACTATTGCAAATAATTTTTTAATAAACTTTAGAATGCTCACAATTCAAATAATACTGAAGAAAACAGATAAAGGTAGTTAAAGAAATGTCATGGAAACAGGTTGAGAAACGAGTTGATATGAGATATCAAAGGAACAAGAATGGAGATCCATGTGGGGCAGATAACAGAAAATAAGGAAAAGTGGTGACCGCAGAAATCCACATGAACAAAATTGACAATGGAAAGGAATGAACTATTCTAGGCAGAAATCCTCCCCTACCTAAGCAATTTCAGTAATTTCAGCGATTTTCTGAACGGTAACAGGATTATGGAGTGAGAAACAGAATGCTCAGAATAATCAATGAGGAAATTAGTTTATCTAGGCCTCAATTCCTTCATTGTGAAATGAATAAATGGATAAATGATTGCCTCACGAGAGGCAGAATGCATAGAAGTTAAAAACACAGGCTATAACTATCATTATATAAGATGTTACCAATGGAGATAGCTGGGTGAAGGGTACAGGAAACTCCTTGTACTATTTTTGCAACTTCCTGAGAGTCTGTAATTATTTCAATATGAAAGTTTTTAAAAGTACAGGCTGTGGAACCAGACCACTGGGATTTGAATAGAGGTATAATCAATCATTGGTTATGTGACCTCAATCAAGTTACTTAATCCCTCTGGGCTTTACTTTCCTCATCTGTAAAATGAGGATAATAACTCATTATTATCCTCATGAGGATTTACCTCATAAGGTGTTGTGTGGATTAAATAAACTAATACACGTAAACCACTCACAACAGTGCTTGTCACATACTGGGCACTCAATAGTCAGCCATTATTAACGTTGTCATAATTTTTTAAATTTATTCCAAAATCACATTCAGCTCTAGAATTCTGTATGTTTAAGCTATTGTTATTTTTGCACTACTAATGTGGAGAGATATTAACTGGTTTGAAAAAAGAGAAAACATCTTGGCAGCCATTGCGGCCAAAATTTTAGTTCGGTCACTTGTCTTCTCTCCATAAACTAGGATTCAACATCATATTTATATGGAGACACTTGTATTTATTATTTCAAAAATGGATATATCACAAAGAACCATGCTGCTGGGGAGGAGTCTCAGTTTACACTCTAGCCTGGTTTCCGGCTACATCAGGGTCATCTCCACCTTGTTTTGAAGAGAACCATGCCTTGTTCTGAAAGCTCTCAAGAACAGAAGATTTCACATTCTTTCCAGCTAACCCTTACCACAGCCTTGAAGATGTCAGGAAATTATTCTTGGTACAGTTTACACTTATTGCCTCTTGTTACCAGTGGATGCAGAAGATAAGTTTTAGAACTTTATACCTGAAGACCCTACTGGATCACTCTGTTTGTCCTTCTCTTTAATTTCCTGATAGATGCTATTTTCCAATTGTTTAATCACCTTCATTCCTACTTCACAAAGGTATTGTAAGGATTACATGAATTAGAATATATCAAAGCACCTAGCTCTGTACCTGGCATATAGTAAGCATTTAATGCATTTTTCTTTCCTTCCTAACCAAGGAATAAACTAATTATCTTCATCAGAATGCAAGGCAGTTAAGGTATTCTAATTAGCATCTCATAATGAATATCGAGGCAAGCTCACAAATCCCTAAGTTTTTATGCTCTATTTGGAGTTTTTGGTAAAGCTGTATCATGAAACCAGATCCTAATTGTTCTTCCCTGCCCACCCTAGTTAATTTTTATCCAAATCCCAAATTTTTAGCTATTATGGTGTCTTTTAAAGCTTAGATATTTTAAACTAAAATAGTTCAAGAAACATATAAATAGACATCTTTTGTAAAAACTTTTTTTTAATTATTCTGAGCCTTACCTAAATCTAATTCAGTCACATTTCCACTTAAAACGTTTTTTGCTCTTCTTACAGTTACTGTAAATGTGTTCCTCCCTCCCTTTCAAAATATGAAATCTTGTCAGAAAAGGTAGATTTTATAAAATCAAACACCTACAGTAATATTCCGACATGCTAGACTATAACTGTGAGAGAAAATTAATTCGGTAAAAATGGTATCTTGTCACTTCAGTTTGCAACTCTCTTGTCTAATAATTTTTAAAGCCAGAACAATCTATATGCTTCTCACAATATCGGTGTTTTCAGCTGTATTTTCTCATTCTATTCTTAAGACTCTATTCTGAAAGTGACAAAACATGAATGGGAAAAATACCAAAGCTTGATTTTTCAGATAACTACTACTTAAGTTTGGGAAAATTCTGTTTTCACTTTCAGCCCTCTTTGCCTCAAAAGAGAACTTGGCATTTCATCATAATCAAATGCTATGAAAGAATGGTTAAATGAACCCTTTGATTAATTTAACTCACTTTATCCTCAAATGCCACTACATTCCTGAGAATTTTTTTCTTTAGTCTGAGAATACAGCAAGATCCAGTTAAAGCAGCAGGATTTCCTAACACAAAGTTGCAAAACCTAAATTCTGATAAAGATTGCCTGCAAACTCAATAGAATGAACAATGAGATTCTTATTACATTGTTTTTCTTCCACAAGAGAAAAATACTTGGAAAAAAAAAATCTTAACTAGAGTGAGCATTACCTTAAGGCAATACTGTATTCAGGATAGAAGACACTTGTATATTGGACCCATGCACCAACTTCCTCTTCAGTTTCCCTTTTTTTGGCTTCTGTTACTGAAAACAGATTAAATGATTCAAATCTTCTTGTAGATACATGTCGTAGACAATCATCCAGGTGTTTTTGCTTCAGAACCTTTGAAATAAAACCAAATATTGTGGTCACATTATATAAACATAAGTTAAGTGTTCAAAGTTCAAGTGGTAGGGGGACTTCCATTTCCGATAATGGCAGATTAGACCCTTTAGACCAACCGCTTACTGAAGACAACTAGAAAAGACGGACAAAATATTTTAAAACATTACTTGAAGGCATCAGAGAGCAAAGAAGAGAGTGAAGATTTACCAGCCTAATATCTTTAAAAGGAGGTAAATCTAGAGACGTGAGCCTGGCTTTTGCAACCACTTTTCTTATGGGACATTTGTCAATTCCAAAAGCAAGAGCTGAGAAGAGGAGCAGCACTTTTAACAGCTTGTGAAGTTAGGAGGGAAAAGTTGAGTTTCAAAGCTTACCCAGGCAGGGGCAGGTATGTTATTCTGAGCCGGTGTGGGTGTGGGTGTGGGTGTGTGGGTGTGTGTGTGTGTGTGTGTGTGTATTTAAAGACAAATCAAATGAGTAATTCCGTTGGTGAAAACCGGGTTTTTAAGTATGGGAGAAAGGAGACATGGCTGTAAGAGTAATGAGGTTAAGCAAAAACCCTGTAGCTCTAAATCAGAATAAAGTATAATATAAACTAATGATATATTTCATTTTTTAAACCTATACATATTTTTCCTACATCTGATCACTGGAAAAGTCTAGAAACAATGACCAAACTGATAGCAATGAGCACACCTAATGCCTGTATTGCTATCTCTTAATACCATTTTCTATTACAACAACGTAAGGCCCCTTGGAGAAACGGCAAGAATTGCAGAAGATGAGCCTGGAACATCCTGCACATTAAAAAACAAGAAAGCCATACAAAATTAAGGGTTCTATCAAAAGGACTCAGGAGCCAATGTGAAAAGGGTCCATTGGCCAAAAATGGGACAGTGTGAGCATTAACAAAGATAATAAATGTAATAGAATTAAAATACATTAGTTTATAATGGTTTTTTTTTGGTGAGGAAGATTAGCCCTGAGATAACATCTGTTGCCAATCCTCCTTTTTTGCTGAGGAAGATTGGCCCTGGGCTAACATCCATGCCCATCTTCCTCTACTTTATGTGTGGGACGCCTGCCAGAGCATGGCTTAATAAGTGGTACGTAGGTCTGTGCCTGGGATCCAAACCCGCGAACCCTGGGCTGCTGAAGCAGAGTGCAGGAACTTAACCACTACGCCACCAGGGAGTCCCCCATAATGGTATTTTTTCAATGCCTCATTGATGGTCATTGAAGCATGCTAGAGAACTAACTTATTATTCTGAAAACTAGTAAATAAAGAGAAAGAATCAAGTATTTATCTGTCTATCCTATATGAACTGTAACAGAGAATCCAAATAGACGATGAGGGGAAGTTTCTCTTTATAGTAGTATTCCAAGTAATAAATGAAAAAGAAATGACAGAATTAGAATATCACATTTTTCAACTCTCTCATGAATTCATGAATCTAGGTAATCATCAAGAACCAAAATAGCCAGACATCACTGGGATTACTTATGAAAGTACACACCACCATCACCTTGACCAGCCAAACAAGACAACACAAAAAACATCAGAACTGAACCTGATCAAGCCTCTATATCTTGGAAATAGGAAATACAAGGACAGAGGAACACATTAAACAACATCATCAAGTGCAATTAGCAAAATTCAAATTATGGTAAATTCTACAAGACAAAAAACTCAGTTTCTCCAATAAACAAATGGCAAGGGTTGAAAAAGATATGCAGAGGGAATATGTAGATTAAAAAGACTTATAAAACATATCAACCAATAACAATGTTTGGACCTTAATTGGATTCTGTTTCAAAATAATCAAATTGTAAAGAAAAATTATGAGACAATGGGGAAAATTTGGAAACTGACCAGATATTTCATTACATCAAGGAATTATTCCTGGTGTGATATGGTATTGTAATTATTTTTTAATGTCATCTACACACTGAAATATTTATAGAAAAAAATGATATGATATCTGATTTTCTTCAAAATAATCTGAGGGTGGGCATAAGGAGAGAATAGAGATGAAACAAGTTGGTCAGGAATTAAAAATTGTTGGGGCCCGCCGGGTGGCACAAGCGGTTAAGGGCGCATGCTCCACTGCGGCGGCCCAGGGTTTGCAGGTTCGGATCCCAGGTGCAAATGTACACAATGCTCATCAAGCCATGCTGTGGTGGCGTCCCACATACAAAACAGAGGAAGACTGGCCCAGATGTTAGCTCAGGGACAATCTTCCTCAAGCAAAAAGAGGAAGATTGGCAACAGATGTTAGCTCAAGGCCAATCTTCCTCACACACACAAAAAAAATCAGAAATGGAAGAGGTCTTAAAGGAATCTAATCCCACTCCTTCATTTACAAATGAGAAAACTAAGGTCTAAAGAGGTTGCTCATCCTCATACAAATAATTAAGGGTAGATCTGGGCCTAAAATCAAGTTGTATTAAATTCTATTCCAGGAATCATGCTGTCTTTTTCAGCATTGATAGTCTCAAACATACAGCATCCTGCTTTAACTTAAATTGTACTGTGAAATATTCCAGTAATCAGATTCTTCAGCCAAGTATTCAGAACTCTAGGCAATTATTCATTCTGTAGGTATTTGTGACTATCTGCGCAAGCATGTAATGGTCATTGCTACTTTTTCATCTGCCCTACAACCCTTACTCTTGGGAACTGCCCCTCTCTCACTCTATGTAATAATGGTGGGGTTGTCATCTTCTCTGCCACAGGGTGGGCTGATGACCTAGGCTACCCAAAGTGCCCCATTCTCCTGGACACAGAAATTGGTCCAACCTTGGCTATTATAGTCACTTGGAAGAAATGATTTGGGTATTGGGGAAAAGGGCCTTTTCTTCTGGATCACTAGCTGGGTGGATGATGAAAGCCTGTGAGTTGCCAATAGCCATCTTTGCCATCAGGTGATGAGACTCAACAAAAAGAGAATATTATCCACATCCTCTATTGAAATTGATCCATAGACTTCCAGACCTCATTTGATTAACGTGAGCACTAGACTCAAAAGTTAGCAATTTATCATGTGACCTGGTATCAAATGATGAACTAGGTCAACCAGGTGTTCTCTCAAAAATGTTAATTATAAAACATAGAAAATATTGAACAGTTAAAGTGAAGGGCCATGAGATAGCATTAAAGCCCTATGGGGTAATGGAAAGACAGAATTGTGAGGGAGAAGACAAGCAGACATTAGCAGATGTCATGAAGATGTCTCACAACAGAGAGAAAGAGAGCTGCATATCTCTAGCACTGTTTAGATTCCTCGTGGTTTTCCAGTTCTGTATGCATACAAGATGTGAATGGTCCATTCATTTGAAACATACTTACTAAAAGCCTGCAAATGTTTAAAATATGTGGTAGATTAGATTATTATAGAAAAATATTTACTTCCTGTGAAGTATACTTCTCTGCCCCTTGAGTTTAGGCTTGGCCAAGTATCTTTGGCCAACAGGATGTTATCAGGGGCTTAAAACGTGTTTTGGTGCTTGAGCTCGCCCTCTTATACCTCTGCCATCACCATGAGAACATGTCAGCCAACTGGTCCAAGGATTAGAGGCATATGGACCAAGCATGCAGCATAGAGCCACTCAGCTGATCACAGCCTATGTCAGTCAGCTCCCAGGTGACCCACAAATGCACAAACAGAATAAATGCTCACTATTATTTGCCACCGTGATGTTGTAGTTGTTTGTTACTCAGCAGTAGCTAAGTGATACAATATACTAAGTACTAAGTGCTACGGACCACTTAAAGACTGTCTTTACTCTCAGGTTTTCCAAAACACTTAATATCTACTAAAACCCAACTACCTAGGCCCTGTGAGAGATGCAGAGGATGGAGATTAATAAAATGTCATCTTTTCCCAGGGAGAACTCCCATTCTAGCGAGAAAGATGGACTCTGATCAGATGATCATAAAATAATGCGAATATGGGGTTCACTGGTACAACTAGCTGAGGGTCTAACTCAGTCCAGAGGAGTCAGGAGAAGCTTCACAAAAGAGGAGATTGAAACGGAAGTCTGAAGGATGAACAGTCATTCATCACGTAGAGAAGAAGATAAAAAAAGACTCTAAGCAGAGGGCACATGTGTACCAAAACATTAAATGTCAAAGTGTGTGGGGAGTTCAAATGGCAGCCATAGCTTAACCTTGTCCTTGTTCTGATGTATACAGAAATTCAGAATAAACCTAAGTGCTGGCCAACTAGATACTAAGAATCACTGAAGACATCACAATAAGATTTGATTGATTAATTTAAGGCCCTAAGGTACTACTTTGAAAATTCAATTTTAACTGGTTTACTTCACTATAGAAAATTCCTATGATAGTGATCTATGAGGACACATTTTATTATCCTATAATACCATCTGTAACATTAATAGCAAAGCCAGATCATTAATGCTCTGGAAAGATTTTCAATGTATCAGAAAAGAAATGATCTTTGAGTTATGTCATGACAGCACTGGAAGGCCACCATATGAAAAGGTGACTTGAGACAATTGCAAACAAAGTAACCCCCCAAATACTAAAGGTACAATCTCAAAGTCGCAATAGCTGGGAAACTCTTTTTGCAATACAACAGTCAGAAATGGAAAGTGTCCTCTTGAGTAACTTTTCAGCAGGAAAGCTCAGGCGGAGGCATGACACTGGTGTGTAAAACAGTAAGCAGATTTCACTTCAAACGGTTCGCAAAGAGGGTCAGTGATGTCAAATCAGAACTCTGTCAAACCGGCACACGACTGAAGTTATCAGCAACTTTGAAGTAGCAGAAGATAACCGCCATTAAACAAACCAGCACACTCGGACTAGCCCATCGTGGACACCGAGAATCTGGCTGATCACTTCAAACTACAAGACAAATACGTAACTTTCACATCCCAGCGAAAGCGAGAAAGGCAGCTCTTGCTACTCCCCTCACGCTCCGCTATACGGAAGAAACCGAGGCAATGCACGCAACGTCACAGTCCCCACACAGACAACCACGCCGATCTCCAAGAGAGGGGCCAGACTTAGGGCTAGAATCAGGCTAGGAGTTAAGAAGCAAAAAGAAACCTGGGGAAGGAAGGCAAACAGAAGCAGGGAAGAAGAGCAGTATGAGGTGGGGAGCGGCGGCCCCACCAATCCGACTGGCGAGCCGGGAGAAAAGTCTCGCGGATGCAGACAAATGCCTAGAAAGGGATCTTCTACTTCGATCCGAGTTTCCCAGGAACTCAGCCTTGGCTGCCCGCTCCCCGCCCAACCCCACCGGATTCCTCCCTTTGGGTGGGACATTAGGTGAAGCAAGCGTGAGCTTCTCAGGTGGCTCCCGGCAAAACTGTGAGGGAACTCCCAGAGCTGCCAAGGAGAGGGCAGCGGCCGGTCGCTCCCCCGGTACACGCGAGGGGTGTGGCCAGAGGTAAAGGTGAGGCGCGTGGGCTCTCCCTTACCTGCCTCAAGAGCTTCCACCGGGCGGCTCCCAAGGACGCCGAGGGTGCTGGCCCCCGAGCGGCGCCGCCACTGGTCGGGCCCTCACCCGCGGCGCGCCCAGCCTCGCCGGCCCCGACGTCCGCGATTTGAGACTCCATCTCGCTGGAGCCGCCAATTCCCGTGCTGCAGCCGCCACAGCTTCCCCCTGCCAGGACCTACCCACTTCTTCCCTGTCAGGACCTGTGACGCTGTCCATGCGCGCGCGCCCTCCCCGAATACCGCATTTCCGGTATTCGCGTCTCCTTGGCAACCAGGGTAGCGCCGCTCGCGTCATTGCACCATTGTGCTGGTGGCCATCTTGAGTGAGGGCAGACCAGAGGATGAGGGCGCTGTGGCAGAGCTAGTGGGACGCTGCCCCCCCCCCTTGTTCTCTTCTCCCCTACTTCATCTAGAGTTCAAAAGACTAGCGAAGAACCTAAAAGGCTTATATCTTTGATGGTTAAAGAACCCAGGAGGAGAAACATCCATTCTTGACCACAATAAAGATGGCGAGATCTGCTTGATGCTCCTGCTAGATTGGGGTTACGTAGACCGGCGTGCTGCAAAGCAGCTCCAGGCGGTTCTGGGTAAGCTTCTGTTCTGAGCTGCAGAACGCAGACTTCGGCTGGACTCGACGGAGGTGACAGCTGCGCTCCCTCCTGAGAGTTTCGGGTCCTTCAGTCTTTTCGGTGTCCAGGGCCGGAGTGACTCTGACTCTTTCAGTTTGCGTACGTATGGGGGGCGTATGCTGGGGTATGTCTTCTTTTCTCCCCTTCCTTCCCACCCCCAGCCACCCTAGTCCCTTGGTCCTCGTTTTTTGAACGATGTTCTTTCACTGCATGGCAGATGGTACCACTCCCTCTCGCACTAGGTCGCCTCATCCCTAAGGTGGAGAGTTGCACGAGATAAACTAATAGGTTATCCCGGGAACACCCATTCGTCCACCCCACCCCCATCCCTAGCCTTGCATACCGTCTTCTCCCTGCGGATGAAAGATGGATGGATTGAGGCTGCTGGCATGGATACAGTGATTCAGGGCTTTTTTGTTTTGTTTTGCTAGTATCGGCTGCTGATCCACTCTCTCCACTCGTTATTTTGCTGCGACATAGAAAGAGAATAAGGGGGGCAGGGGCGTCGTAGCGGATCGGAGCTGTGGTTAATCTGACGCAGCATTGTACTTTTGACATCGAGAGGCGTTTAGTGGAAGACTTCCATGATAACATTCAACAGTGTGCAACATACCAGGAGATTTTTACTCTCCTGATAATAACAGCTACTATTTATTGAGTGGTTACTACGTGCCAGGCACCGTATTAAGATCTTAACATAAATTGTCTCATTTTATTCTTAGAACAACGACTCCGTAGGGTAAATGGTGTCATTATGTCAGTTTTGCATATGAAGCAACTGAGGCACAGGTAGTAAGTGCAGGGGTGAAGACCTGAACCCACGTCTCTGACTTAACTACTTACTAGCCTTACTTACCTTCATAGGTTAACAAGAACCAACTTCCCAACAGAAACCGGAGATGGCCTCACGTTTTATCTATGCATCTTGAAGTGGTTATTTTTTTCTTAACTAAAGAGCTAATTACCTTTTTAACGTTAAAGTCCAGTCGTTGTGACGTTCAAGATTTGGAGCCAAACAAGATTGGACTTTTTGCTCTACTACTTACTGTCCAAGTGACCTGGGGCAGTTGCTTAAACCACCCCCTCAGAGCCACAGTTTGCTCACCTGTAGAATGAACATCATAATAGCTACTCTATCAGGTCCTTATAAAGTTTAAATTAGACAAGGTATATAAAAGCATCTGGCACGTAGCAAACACTCAACAAATATTAATCCCCCATCCTCCACCTTTATTAAGTAATTAGATTTTCCAATTTATCCTTCATATGCATACCAAAGATATGTTGTGAATTTTATAAGATCAAAGCCATTTTGCCTTTTAAAGCCCTCAGAGTTCCTGAGATGCCCCCAATAAGTCCATGTACTTATTTGCAAATTTTTATTTTTGTTTTTTGTTTTCTGTTTTGTTTCGTTTTTTAGTTTGCCCCCATGTGTACCAGAATCAGTGCTGCATAGTTTGACCCTGATAGGATTGACTTTACAAATGAGACATTTAAGTCACATCTACCAAGAAGTATAATTTGAATGAAACTTTAACTTATACTAAGTTTTCAGATATTTTTAACCTGAGTTATCAGCTGTCTACAGTTATTCATAACCTGAGGGGTGCATGACCCTGAAGGGGAGGGATAAGAACTGCGGCTCTTAGATGCTCTGAGAACCCACTGCTGTATAATCATAGCTGTGAAATCATTCACGTGCTGGCAGCCCCAAAGGGAGCATAAACCAGGGACTTTGATATCATGCAGCAGAAGAGCAAATTATTTCTCCAAGCTTTGAAGTATAGTATTCCTCACCTTGGGAAATGCATGCAGAAACAGCATTTGAATCACTGTAACTTCGCTGATCATTATTACAATAGAATAAAATTGAAAAAATATCACCTAACCAAGTGTCTGCAGAGTAAACCCAAGATATCAGAGTTAGCAAGAAACATCCCAAGTCGGAGCTTCTCGTATAAGGTATGGACTGTTTAAGTTAACCTATTTGTAGGTCATTAAGATTAATTTCAGTTTAAAGAATGGATACGATATCAGTTACTAATTTTCTCAGTAATTCTAATTTGATTTTTAAAATGTTCAGGCTCAAGTGTCTATAATCAAATATAAGTATAAATATATATATTTATAGAGCTGTTATGTAATATATAAAAATATAGATGTATAAAAAATGATTCACCTTAGGAATTCCTCATTGGGCCTACCAGTGCAATTCAAAGTATAATTCAGCTTTCTAAAATTCCTAGAATATCATCATAGCTCTTAATGAAATCTAATAATATGCTAATTGTTTTATGAATCTCAGATTAGTAAACGTTAGTAAAGGCCATGTAATTGTGTGTCACTTCTATGTAAAAAAAAGAAAAAAGGACTTGCATTTTTGACCACTTGGGTCCTTCAGAAAGATGCTTTCAGACTACTGTACTTTGGCTAGACCCCAAGCTATGGGCATGACCTCAACCTTGAGGACATGATTGCCTTTATATGTAGAGTGACCACACATCCCCGTTTGCCTGGGACAGTCCCAGTCTACACCTGTTGTCCCTGTGTAATTGTTAGTAGTGTCTCCTTTCCTCTCAAAAATGTCCTGGTTAGGATGGTAAATTATATGTTCATCCTACTACGTGGGATTAAGCTATCTATTTATGCTGCTGCCTGTTTGACATACCTCCCCTACCTTATACTTAGGTTCCTTAGGTTCCTTAAATTACATTTAGGGGTGATATTCTTGAAATATTTTAGCATATTTTATTATTTTAATATATTAATTTCTAGTTTTAATTGTTTTGGTGCATACCGATTTTTCTTTTTAGTCTCTTTTGGCGTCCTCATTTTTTTGTGTGGTAAAATATGTATAACAAAATTTGCCTTTTTAACCATTTTTAAGTGTATAATTCAGGCATTAATTACATTCACAATGTTGTACAGCCGTCACCACTATTTATTTGCAAAACCCTGTCATCACCCAAAAAAATGTACCCATTAAGTGATAATTCCCCCCTCCTGCCTTTCCTGAGCCCCTGGTAACCCTGTAATATACTTTCTGTCTCTATGAATTTGCCTATTCTAGATAATTCTTATGAGTGGAATCATATAATATCCTTTTGTGTTTGGCTTATTTCACTTAGCATAATGTTTTCAGGGTTCATCAATGTTGTAGCATATATCAGAACTTCGTTCCTTTTTAATGGCTGAATAGTAATATTATTATGAATAATATTATAATGGAATAATGAATAATAATATTCCATTATATGTATATACCAGCATTTTGTTTAACCATTCATCTGTTGATAGACACTTGAGCAGCTTCTATTTCTAAAAATGGTTTTTATAATCTTATTTTACTCAATTCTTCTGGTTTTTTAATTTAATTTTTGCTCTTCTCTTAGCTCATACTTACTTGTGGGTTTTTTTTTTTCTTTTAACTTTTTATCTGTTAGTCTCTAGACTTTTACTCTTTACATTTTAGTCTTTCAAATTACTTGAAATTAGTCTTTTATAGCATCTTAGCTTAGTTTAGCACTTTCTTTCTTTACTCACTCAGAAATTCTTTATGCCTTCCTTTTATTTTGTTTTTACCTTGTGTGTGTGCGTGTGTGCACATAGACAACTTTATCCTACTTTGCAAAGATAAACTTTTAAATTTTACCTATTGGACACATTTTAGACCTTTAGATCATTTTATTTTACATTGTGTTTAGAACATTTTGTCATCTTTTACTTTTATCTTAAGTCTTAGTTTATAAATAGTAGGCAAGAACTACCGTCAGAGTAACAGCTGTGAGATTAGCTCACATACTGTGTAGGAGGTTGACTATTTTTCCCCTCCATTTGTCCCTGAAGCAACTTTTTAATTCTCTTTCATAGATTCTCACCACCTAGAAACTTGAACCTGACAGTGGCTCCAAGAAAAGGAGCTCTTTTAGTAATTCTTTTACCTGACAAAGTGGTCTTGCTTCCACATGTCATATGTCAACCATTCCTTCTATGAGAAATTATATGATCTAAAAGCTGCGGTCTCTGTCTTTATGATCACTGGGACCTGGGGAAGCTGTGAAGAGACCTGTAGACAAGAAGGCACATTTCCTTCTTTCAGCAGGCAGCCACTGTGTTCCAACTTTGTTCACTCTTATGGGTACAATGAAGTAGAAAAAGTAATTAGTGCCTGTAGGCAAATTAAAATATATTTGCTTAAAGACCTATTTATATAAGTTAACTAAAGAACAAAAGAGGGCGGCATGTTATAGAAGTGCTGGAAGCAAGAGATCTAGCCTTGACTGATGTGTCTGTGAATTGGTAGGACTCTAATCTTCCTGACTGGAAAAAAAAGGGGGAGGAGTTTCAACTCGATGTTCTCTAAACGTCCTCCAAGGGCTAACATTTCATGATTCTATACCTCTACCTTCTTACCTTAGCAACAAAGGATCACCTTTACATTTGGGACTCTAGTACCAACTTCTGCAGTCTGGCTGTATGTCAGAAATCTTGGGGAGCTTTTTAGAAATGCAGATTGCTGGATCTCACCCCAGATCTGCTGGATCAGAATCTCTATGGATGAGTCCTAGGGACCTGTTTTGTGTTGGTTTTTTTCCTGAAGTTCCTCAGGTAATTCTGAAATTCTCCGTCTGCCACTCGCAGTGGACCTGCTTTAGGAACTAAAGACGCTTGGTGATCAAATGTTGCTGACCTAAACCTAATTGAATTCATTCATTTCTGAGGTTCTTATTGGCAAGTACCTTAGCTTTCCATTTTACATTAGCCAGATGGCACGATGAGCTTATCCATTACACTCATGCACCAGCTAGTAATATTCGAAGTCTAGCATCAAACCAGATATCACATTTCTTTATCTTCCACATCATCCTGCTCTGCCTACAAGAATAATTCCTAAACTCTTTGATCATGATAATTTGAACAAGCTACAAAAAGAAAACCAAGTAATTAAAAAGAAGGGCCTAAATTCTTTGATTAAACATTTGTCCATTGGCTATTTTTACAATATACATAGCAGTTCCTATACTAGTCTCTAAGATAAATAGGTTGGCCAATAAATATCTCCTTCACTGGCACTACTGATCTGTGATTGATAGGAATCATTGGTTCTGACTAAAAGGTTCAAAACATCATCAGATAGGAGAAGGAGAAGGAAAGAAGGAGAACGGGGAAATTTTAAAGGAAAACTCAAGAAAGCCTGAAAGAAGAGAAAATATTGTAGTCTCACAATTTGTTTTTATAAACGTTCACAGAGTGGGACTACCGGATAGGTACAACTTCATTATTGCTTATTCCATTTACTCTTTAACCTTCTGGAGTATGGCTCCCACTCCATTAAAACCTCTGTCAGTGTCACCAGAGATGTAACATATTCCCACCCAGTAGGCACTTCCGTTTCCTGCTCTTCTAGGCTCTCTCAGCAGGTTTGACATGCTTGACCATTCCCTCCTCGAAACACTTTTCTCTTTAGGCCTCTTGACTCCACGTTTTCCTCCTACCTTACAAACCTATGCTTCTCAATCTCCTTTTCTAACTTTTCTTCCATGTGTCCTTTAAATTTTGCGGTTTTTCAGGGCTTAGTCCTGGCCCTTTTTTCTCTCTTTAATTTCTTCCTAAGTAATTTTATCCATTCTCATGGATTTGAGTACCATAGCATTTATTATCTTCATCCCAGAGTCTTCTCCGGCTGCACGGTATGAATCTCCAGTTGGACATCTCACAGACTTCTCAAACTATCCACAGTTGAACTTCAGCTCCCCCAACCCTGACTTAACTCTTCTTTATCTCATGGCTCTATACTCAGTTGTTCAAGCTAAAACACATTTTTTATTCCTTGTGTTCCTTTACCCTGCCATCACATCCATTAACAGTGTATCCCAAACTAGCTTCGTGATTTTTACCGTAGCTCCATACCACGTAGGCTATTATTTACTTAATTTTTTATGTTTAATCAACTTGTCTCATCCCAAGGAATAATATTCAGTAAATCACCAGTCTGATGTGCTAGGTATATTCTTTCTAATAAAATGTTCCTATACTCCAAATCATGTATACCATCGTGTCTGACATGGTTTCAGAAACACTGCGTTAACCTCCAAGATATATGTTGAATCTGTCCATATTTCTCCATCTCTGCCATCATCACTCAGTCATCTTTCACCTAGACTACTGGTAAAGCCACCTAACCAGGTTCCTTGTTTGCTCTCTTCTTCTCTTTTAACCCATTTCCCATACATGTTAAAATATAAATTAAATCATGTCACTCCCCAGCTTAAAAACCCTTCCAGAATTCCTTAATATATAAACATAAAATCCACTTTACCTAATCATGTCCCCCAAGGCCTTGCAACATCTAGCCCCTATCTCATTTCATGCCACTTTGCCCCTCATTCACTTTGGTCAGGCCACAATGGTCATCTCCCAGATAGAAACACACAGCTCTTTCCCATCCCTCTTGGGGCCTTTACATACTATTCCCTAATCCCATTCACCCTTACATGTCTGGTTCCTTCTATTTTAGGTTGTGATTAAATGTTACCTCCTGAGAAAGGCTATTTCTGACCATGGTAGCTAAAGTAACTGTTCCTCACTTTGTTTTTCTTACCTTAGCTTTGTTTCCTTCCTGCCACTTTACCACAATTTTTATTTCATTTGTCAGTTTCCTCTTTTGTTTTTCTTCCCAACTAAAATGTAAGGGCAGGGTCCATGTCTGTCTTGTTCAACATTGCTTCCTTATTGTCTGAGACAGTGCATAAACTAATAATAAATATTGTCGAATGATGACCATCCCCATAAATAGAGGCCTACATCTATTTTATAGAATGCCATTCTGTGGATTGCAATATAATTCTTTTTTTTTTAGAATTATAAGAATGTTTATTTTTCCCTTATACTTTTCTGTAATTTCTACGGTAAAAGAAAAAAACTTATTTTAAGATACCAGCTGAAAAGTGTTCCGTGAAGCA